CTCTGCCCTGCAGTGCACCCCTCACACCTTCCACTTCCCACAGAGTACCCTTCCCCATCTCCCTTGATGGCCCCTGCAGGAGGTCCCCTTGCTGCCTTGGCTGGGGCCTGGCTGGGGTCCCCACCCCATGGATCTCCTCAAGAGCCCCGGTTCCAGCCACCCCCTATCACTGACTGAGTTTCCCAGCGTCTGCTGCTCAGCTTCTCATGTCCACCGGTCCTTCCTCAGTGTCTATCAGTCGTGTCCCATCTCACTGTGTTCTGCCCTGTTGGACACCGTCCCCAATACACCACGAGGATCCCAAAGAAGAAACAAGCCAGGGTTGTGCCCAGGTTGGGCTTTTGCAACTCCGTGGGGGCTGAGAGCACAGGTGGGGATTGAGCCCAGACCTACTTCTGCCCATCCAAGGTGGGGCACACCGCTGGGCGTGGGGGATGGCCCCAGACGCCCCTCAGACCCCACCTCCCCTCTCTGCCCCAGTTTGCGGCTCTCATCACACACACAGCCCCCACCCACTGCCCCCTGCCCCATCCACACTACCCCGGCCTGGGTGGGCTCTTACCAAGAACACGGCTGCCACAGCCCCGGCCTCCTTGTCCACCAGCGGTATGACCAGCACTGAGGAGGAGAGGGCAATGAGGTGGTCCTGTGGGGCCAGTGAGGCTCAGAGATACTGAGCAGGGACCCAGGGAAGGAGACAAAGACACAGACAGAGAGAGGCCTGGACAGAGACACAGGAAGACCCAGAGGCCCGGCGAAACAGAGAGAGGGCGCCTGAGCCAGTGACAAAAAACAACCACAGCAGTGACCCCTGTGGAGAAGGAAACCCCCTCACTAGAGAAATTTCTGTGATCTTCCCAGCAACCCTGGGAGGGAGGGAGGAAGGTAAGGATGAGCACCCCTATTTTACACGTTGGGAAACTGAGGTCCAGAAAGGGGAAGTGACTTGCCCAAGGTCACACAGCAAGTCAGGTCTCCTGACTCCCAGTCTTGTGCACTTTCCACATCGACACAGAGGACAGAGACCTGGAGAGACTGAGACACGAGGCAGAGAGAGACATGGCGGACAGGGAGCATGGAGAGGAAGAGAAACAGAAACAGAGAAAGTGACAAAGACCATGACAATAACTACAGCCCCATCTGCCAATGGGCACAAGCGGTAACCATGGCCACTGTCCACTGAGCCCCGGTAGGTGCCAGGCCCTTAACATGCGTCATCTCATTTGCTTCTTGCTACGCCCCCTCAAGGTGGGTACCGTTGTCCCCATTTTACAGTTAAGAACTTGAGGCTCGGGGAGGTTAGTAGCACATTAGAGAGAGAATTAGATGGAGGGATTGCTGGAGAAACAGAGCAAGAGAGAAGAGACAGAGGTGAGACGGGCAGAAGACATACATGACCTGGGAGCAGAACTGCAGCCCTCCCTACCCTGCCCTGCTCCCCGCCCTTACCTTGGGTGTCAGCAGCCAACGGAGCCACCAGCCTGGCCAAGGGCTTCCCTGGCAGGTCCGAGGGGCCCAGCCCATTGCAGCTCAGCCGCTTCCGGGAGATCACAGCCTCTCTGAAAAGAGGACACGGTGCGACTTTTCAGTCCTGGGATCAAAGCAGAGCAAGACCCAGCCTGGGGACACACAGCAGGGTGGACCCTGCACACCTGTGAGGATCTGTACAGCTTGACCTGCCTTAGGGTGGAATAGAGGAGGACAAAAATGAAACCAGGACCCTTGAGGGTCAAGACCCTGGTCCCAGGTGCAGGGGCAGGCAGCTACAGCCTGGTCTCTGGTGCCTCCTGCTGGTAGATGTGGGAAAAGCATGTGTGTGGAGCGCAGTGTGGAGCCCCAGGCAGTGGGGAGATCAGGGAGGGCACAGGCAGGCTGAGAGCTAGGTTGCCTGGGTCAAACCCCGCCCCTGCTGCTTCTCAACCTTAGGCAAGTGACCTAACTTCTCTGGGCCTCCCTGGGAGAATGGAGGTGGGGGAGAGTATAACCCTCCCCACCACGACCTCGGAAAACAGCTGTAGAGGAAGTTTGGTGCAAAGCATAGGAGCAATACTCCACAGGCAGCCATCATAACTAGAGTTTATTGGGCATTTATTCTGTGCTCTGCACAGTCCAACCAACTCACAGAGATTAGCTCAGAATTATCAACAACTCTATGGGTTAGAGATTACCATCAACTTCATTTTCAGATAGAGAAGCTAAAACACAAAGAGATTAAGTAACGTGCCCAAGATCACACAGCTAATAATTGGAAGCGCCAGGCAGTTGGCACCAGAACTAGGTTGAACCATCCCAAAGACTGATGAGTTGTGACACTTGGGCAGGAGACTAGCATGAGTACCCAGGTGTGATAGTGGAAACTGAGGCAGGGGAGGTCGACTGTGGAAAGAAGGCATTTCTCTCTGCCCTGCCATACATTCCACCCTCCCCAAGGCCTCTGGATTCAATTCAGTGATGAATTGTCCTGGGCTCCTCATCTCTCCTGCTGCCTCCATGTTTTTATAGGAACTGCCTGATCTAGATGGAAGAGAAGCTTAGGGGACTGGTACTCTGGTGTCTGCATTTGGGGTCACGAAGGGGAATCCAGTACAGGTCAGATGAGGACTCAAGAGGGGACAGCCTGCAAGTCACCAGATCAGGAGGTCACAGCCTCTGAAGAAACAGAGGCCCAAAGAGGTTGAGCATCTCATTCAATGTCACACAGACTAGTTCCCTCCTGGCCCCTTTGACCAATTCAGAATCTACAAACACCAGTGGTGTCTCCCACCTTCTCACCCCTACATCCAGGAGCTTTGAGTCTGCCCAAGTGCTGGGCTTCGGTTCTGGGCTATCTTTACTACCTGGAACCACCCCAGGAAGGAACAGAGAGCTAGGGCGGCAGAAGGACAATGGACTAAACTGATGAAGGTTGGGACTTCATTAGGACAGGAGTGACCCTCAGCTAAACCCCACCCAGCTACTTGGCCTTTGACACTCTGGTTATCAGGAAGCCACAAGGTGGCGCTAGTCCTATGTTGCTGGTAAGTCCTGCAGCCTCCCAGTGGACCCCTGACTATCACTGCCCACCCATAGACCCAGGGCGGCATCAGCCTCTCCTCAGAGACCCCAATGAAAGGATATGTCCCAGCCTTTCTTCTGCACAGAACTTCTTCCTCTGCTCATGGCTTATGAACTCCAACTCTCAATGAGCTCTAGACCCCAGATCCCCGAAGGCTAACTGGAAACCTCCCCTGCATGTCCCTGAGGTCCCCTAAAGGCAACTGAGGCAAGGTATCACGTGGGAGTGGGGCTTTCCCATTACTCAGGTCCCCTGATGGTTCTCCACTCAGGCCTTCCTGGCCTCCTCCTCAGCTCTTCCCTTTCTCCTTCTCCAGTCCCCCGCCCCATCTTCCAGGCTGATGCTGGGGCTGGGGGGACTCCACACCCCAGGGCCAGCTGTCCAGCTGAAGACCAATAACTCAGCCCTGGATCCCTGAATGGTCATGGTCTGCCCCTCTAAAGATAAAGACAGATGGGCAGAGTGGAGAGAGGAACAGGCGTGGATTTTATGACTGTTCCGTCCCTTTAACAACTATTTGTTTAATGGAAAAAGAATAGAGGGAAAAGCTCTCCGTTGGTAAGGTCAACAGCCTGGAAAGAGCTAAGTGCCCAGGTCTCCTTCCCCACATCCTTCTCTGATCTTCTTCCAGGGTAAGCCCCTTCTCCTTAAGGAGACCTACCCCCTGCCTGGCCCCTCGATGAGCCCCACCCGCCTGAAGCCCCAGCCCTGAGTGCCCAGGCCCTTTACTGAGCCTGCCTTTGAAGAGCCCTGTGCCCCACTGAGCTCCATCTCATCCACAACACCAGCCTCCTCACTGAGCCCCTGTGCTCCCCCTGACCCCCTCCTTCACTGAGCCCCCATCTCTCAGTGAGGTCCCCTCTCCTTACTGAGTCCCCGTCCCCTCATTTAGCCTTCCCTCTCTCACTGAGGATCAACCTCTCTCTGACCTTTCATCTCTCTCTTGAAGACAAATTATGATCCGGGCCCAGACCTGGACCCTTTCTTCCCTCTCTTTTCCCCAAAATGTGAGCATCTAGAGAAGGGAACAGACAAGTCCCTGTGTTTTCCAGATAAACCAGAGGGGCAGATAAACTGTTCAGTGGGAGGAGACCAGGTCCACCCTGAGGGAGATTTCTGGGCCCTTGGGCCCCTAATGGTAATGGCAGCCAGCCTGAGCAGGGGCCCTCTTGGTAACTACAGGGCCTGAGGTCTCCCATGCTCTGTGGCGAGTGATCAGAGGCTTTAGGGTAGCAAACGATACGATGAAAAGATGAAGGTGGCAGGCTGGAGACTGAAATAGGCTGGAAGATTGGGGTGGGGGCACCCACAAAAGAGAGGTGAAGCCTCCCAGGATTCTCTCCAGCCCTGAGGCCCCTTGCGGCCCCTAAGATTCAGAGCTGGACCAGCCCATGACAACAGAATGTTCAACCTTATCATTTCACAGAAAGGTAAAACAAGGTCCAGAGAGATAGCAGGGGGCTGGGGATGTAGCTCAGTGGTAGAGCACTCATCTAGCATGCACATGGCCCAGGGTTCCATACTGAGCACTGGAAAAACAAAAAACAGAACAAAACAACAACAAAAAACTAGAGAGTACATGGGGTCATGATTGCGGCCATGTGTCCTGGAACCCAGTTCTCCCGACTCCTAGCTCCTTGTGGACAGATTTCATCTCCAGGAAATGGAATTGGCTGAGGTGGAGGTGAGACAGGGGAGGATCCTGCAGGGGAAAAGCAGCATCTACAAGCAGGTCAGAAGGAAGCTTGGGGGTGGAGCGGGGCATCCCAGAGCCTGCAGGTGGGAGGGGGCAGGACAGGTGGGACAGCGGGGCTCAAGGGTGCCCCTCAGTCACTCCTGCCCAGACCCACCTCCACCCTGCTGTCCCCCACGCCACCCTTAGCTGCTTCTCTGCCCCTTCCTCTAAGGGCCTTATCTGCCTTTATGATCCAGCCTCCATGTCACAGCTGCTGCTGTTTGCCAGCCTCGCCAGCGGTCCTGGGCTTCCTGGAGGAGCACACCCACCCCGCCACCACCCACACCTCCATCTACAGGTGCCTCCACCTCCTGATGGGACCAGAGCCACAGGGGCACCACTGGAGAAAACCTGTATCCAGCCTCACCTGATTCTCAGAAAAAGAGACTGAAGCCAGAAGGAAAGTCGTTTTCTCAAGGTCACTCAAAGTTAATCACTGGAGGAACTTGGGCAACCCGCCATCCCTGAGCTCCTACTGTGTGCTGGGCACTGTGCTAAGCACTGGCACCCATTAAGGCAACACATAGGTGGAACACAATGAGGCAGGCTGAACCAGAAGCCAAGCGCGTTTGGCTGCCATTCCGGGCTCTTACCTCTTCCACACACACCTACGTCTAAAGCCCTGGTCGTGCTGGTAGTGCCCAAGAGCAGGGCCCAGCCAGCCCTGGGCCTCGCACTCCTAGAGGTGGAGGTGAGCTGAACACCTGACCCTTTATGCTGGACACACAGGGGGGCAGGCACAGCAAAGATTCTGGAAGAGAGCACCAGGCCTAAGCCTGCACCCCCAAACCAAGGTCCTTGCCAATCTGAATGAATGCTGATCTCTGTGTCCCTGGGGTACCCTACCCTCACCCTCTTGCTTCCCCCTTCCCTGGTCCATGGTGGCCTCCTGGAACCTGACCCCTGTCTCCAGAAGGCATTTGCCTCTCAATCTCCAACAAGCTCTGGGCTATTTGCATTTAAGCCTTCATTTTTAATTGCCTTTCTCCCCCGTCCCTTTCCAAAGGCTTGGCTGGGTCTCAGGCGGTTATGGGGAAGATGCTGAATGGCTGCTGGTTCGAAGGACCTGGGGGCACGGCAGAGCTGCCCATTCCCCCAGGGGCAAGCAGCCAGAGGCGGTGCTGCAGGCCAGAAGGGGCAGAGCCAGCCCTCAGGACCACCCCTGCTTCCCTACCCTGTCATCCTGCGTCCCTCCCAGGAAGGCCTTTCCTGACTGCTTGGGGGAAACTTCCTGGAGGAATTAAGCTCTTATTAAACAAAGTTCTTTAGAATTAGAGGTAGGGGGAGCTAGTTGAGAGAAAATAAGAAGACATTATTATATTCCCTCCCCCAGGGGATCAAACCCAGTCCCTTGTGCCCACTAAGCAGACCCTCTACCCCTGAACTGCACCCAAGCCCCTTACAGCGTTTTTTCCTTTAAGATTCCAAAGACTTTCTAGTCATATCCCATCATTTTACAGATGGGACACAGAGGCCAGAGGGGACAGTGGGTGGCTTTGTTCACACAGTGCTTTAAGGGAGAAGTTTCCAGGAGAAGCTAAAAGGGAGTGTCATAGCTACCCACCCCCAAGGACCTCAGGGACAGGACAAGAGGTGGGAAGGCTCTGGCCTATTGGAGAAAAGCCAGCTACTTCTATGGGCTGGGGAGGGGGCAGGGAAAGACCACCATCCTGGGATCCAGGGTTCCAGGTAACAGGAGGGACCTCAGGATTGGGAGTCAGCCTCTCCAGACCAAATGCTGCTCCTGGCCTCTGTGAATGGGGTGCAGAAGCCTCAGGTACTCTCTGAAACACATGGCACCGGGGAAGAGCCACCTCCTGGGAACACCCCCACCAGTGCCCACTCTGCCCTCAGCTCCCAGCCCAGTGCTCCTAGACCATGGGATGGCCCTAGCTTCCGTTCTCGGGAAACAACATCGAGTCCTCTGGAGCCAGCCTCCTCTGCACCTGCACTTCTGCCATCAGTACTTCCTCCTCTGACGAGTCTCCTCCTCTTACTGACCACTGCAGACCCCAGGAACAAGGAGACCTCACACCTGGTATGTGGCCTGAAGTATGTCTCCTGCCCCCCTCTATAAAATGAAGAAGCTGAATTCAGTGGGCTCAGAGGTATTAGGGGACTATAGGATACTGAGCCCTGATCCTAAAATCCCTGATTCTGATCCTCTATCATAATGATAATACCAAACAGATAGATAGCCCTCATCATGGATCAAGCTGGTTTAAGTGCTTGACATGTGTTAAATGTGTTGAATACTCCCATCAACCCTACAAGGACTACAGTTTTCATCATGTAACAGAAAGAAAACTGGGCCCAGAAAGGTTGTATCATTTGCCCAAGATTACTCAGTAAACACAGAACTGGGCTTTGAACCCAGGCAGCAGGGGGGCTCCATATTCTCAAATGCAGGTGACTGTCACCACAGACGCTTCTCATGGCATGATGGGATAGATTCAAACCCACAGACGCCACAGCCTTGGCCTTCTCACTCTGAGCATCCTCAGCAGTGCAAGAGGGCGAAGGGGGCACAGGGAACGGCTTACCGGACTTTCCCTTCCTGTGGCAGCTCATGCGGAGGGTCCTCACACACCAGCCGAGACTCCCCGTCCAGCAGGTAGGTGTAGACAGTCTCCTAAGACAAAAGGCACTCATGAGCCCCCTGGAGAGGCCCCCAGCGGCCGAGTCCCAGTCTATACACAGGGTCTGTACCTCTCTGGGAGCAGGGTTCTGACATTTTTGTTTGTTTTTACTCTCCAGGTGGTTCTAACATGCAGCCAGAGTGCAAAAACACCCTTATAAACAGAGTACCTCACCCTCTAGTCTCGGAAGGATCTCTGGGCAGAAAGTGATTGATCCATGAATCTGCCAACTTTTCTAACTTGGATTTTACCCTAAATCCAAGGCACTGAGGAAAGAGTTTGAAAGGTTTGAGTGCAAACCAATCGCCTCCACCCTGGATACTTTCCTGCCTGACTCCAGCCTCAGGTGTTTGGCAAACAACCAGACACACACACACACACACACACACACACACACACTGTGACTAGAGCCAGGAGACAGCAGAGAGGGCACTGCACCCATCTTCTGTGGGAGGGCTCCTGGAGGAAGAGAGCTTTAGGCTGTAACTGAATGAGACATGGACACATCTGGGGACTGGAGGTGGGAGAGAGAGCCAGTTCGTGGGTCAGGCACCAGGTGTGCAGTAGGTCCAGAGGTCCAGGGATTTGCTCGGGGTGAGCAGGCCTGAGCTTGAAGGGCCTTAAGAGCACAGCTGGGGGCCAGGCAGGCAGTGAACCTGATGAGCAGATCTGTATTTTGGACAGATCGCTCCCTAGAGTGAGATCAAAGCTCTTGCTCAAAGCTTGTCAAGTCCTCAGCTCTCCAATCCTCCCTCCCCCGCGGGCCCAGAGCAGTACTGGCCTTCGTTGCAGGCCACGTCTTGACAGAAGTCGCTCTCACTGACCCACAGGCAAAACCCCACATTCCCTCTGAGCAGAAACTTGCGACTCTTAAGGGTCCCTGCCCACCCCCCAACTCTGCACAGCCCAACTGTGCAACTCTGTAGTTTTCTCTGTGACAGGCTGGAGGGGGCTCTCCTTCACTGCAGGGATCAAGGAACCTTCAGGAGGAGGTGACAGGGTGCTTGGTATGGAAGGCCCACCCTCAATAGGTGCGGGACCCATCTCAGCAGAAGTAGTGCCTCTGGGACTGGGAGGGGCTGCCCCTAGGCAGCGCCCGTCTCTCAGGCCACAAGAGATGCCCCAGCACCATTTCCAGGTTAAGGGGTGGCAGATGGGAATGACAGAGCCCAATGTGACTGAGAGTGGCAGACACTGGAAAGACCCTGCACCCCCCTTGTCTTCCTGGGATGAGGCTCCAGGGAAGAGTTCAAGAAAAAAGAACTCTGGGAATGCGGCCACCCGTTCTGCTTGTCATTCTCTTCAGCAGCGGCAAGGGGCCAGAGGTATGGGCCCAAACAGGCTGGGAGCCCACGAGGCGCACACAGAGTCGTCCCTCGCAGGGAGAGGGTGGTAATCCTGCGGGTGGAGGGGGACACAGCCTCACTTCACTTCCGGATGTCCGCGTCTCCCACCCCCTCATTCAGCCCTCCGGGTTAAAATTAGCTGAGTGTATTGGAGAGAAGGAGGGAACGGTTTCAGACACATCAGCACCATCTGCGTTGGGGCTGCCTGCCACAATGGGTGCTGATGAGGAAGCCAGGTGCCTGCAGCAATCCTGCCGGGGGTGGAGGGTGACCCCTCCCCATCTCCCCACCCTCCCTGCAGCCGAGGACCTCGCCTGCCTTACCTCCCTGTGGGCCTGGAATCAGGCCAGGTCTCCCTAAGTCAGGGCTTCCCTAGCTCTTGACAGGTCTCTTGGATGGACTGGGGTAGACATTTCTGCTATCCCAGGAACCTCGTTTTCTGGATCACAGCTGTCACCCAGCCCCCAGCTTTAGGACTACAATTAATCCAGTGTAGGGCATCTATGCCCGCACAGCCATCAGGGCACCCAGCCTGTGCAAACCTAGCCAGTTACCTCCTCCTGCTGCACCAAAGGGCTCAAGGGCCTCAGGACCAGCTTGTGGACACTGCCTTGCCAGCTTCCCCTAACCCTTCTTTTCCAGATGTGCCTCTACCCCAGGCCAGATGTTGCCTCAATCCCATTCCCCTCCTGGAGGATTTATTTTTGGGTGCCAACACACCACCCACTTCCTACCAATTTCACGCTCAATAAAGCTCAGTCATTAGCCCTCCTCCTGGGCGCTGAACTTCTAGGAGGTTTGGAGAAGGCAGAGTTGAGGAGAGGGAATGGGGGTGCTGAGGTGCCAAGTCCCATTTGTTCCTGTCATGCTGTGTAACCTTGGGGGAAGTGCCCTCCCTCTCTGGGCCTCCGGTGGTTCATCCATCATGCAGATTCAGGGACAATGGGCTCTGCCGGGGCAAGAAGGTCGCATCCTGAGTTGGCTCAACTTCCCAGAACAGAGGCTGCCTTTGGCTGGGGGTGAGAGTAGGGGAGAGGACATTCAAGGCCATTAGGACTCAATTTGGGCATCTCCCTCCAGGAAGTCTTCCATGCTCCTTAGACTGGATCAGACCCCCCACTCAGGTTCCAAAAGTTCCTTACTTTCCTCTATATGACACAACTGAGACCCTGCTGATTCCGGCTTCAACAGCCAGTTGATCTCCCCTCCTTCTTAAGACATGAACAGTAGGCATTAAAGCCTGGTTGAGAGAGGCTCATGGCCACCAAAGAGGGACACAATCTCCCCAACAAAGCATTCAGGGTCTATGTGACCAGGGTTACCACCCTCTACCTGCCCCAAATCTGCAACTCTATTTAGCGTTGGGATGGGACAGAGAGAAGCTTCAAGATTACTAAGGGTCACTTCAGTCCAGGCTCCTGTCTCCAGACAGGACACCTTAACCCAGTGCAGATCCAGTCACCAAAGCTGAGCCGTCTAGCACCTGCAAGCCTTGGCCTCCAGGAAGCTCTTCGTGCCCACACTCAAAACCTCCTATGCACATGTTCCAAAACCCACCGGATGCCATCATGTCCTGTTGCAATCCCCTCCATTATCTGAGTCAGGTTTTCCAGTTAACCTCTAAGACCCCTTCTGGCTCAGATACTATGGGATTCTTTTTAAAAAGTTCATTCTTTGGTGTTAGCTGCAGCCCTCCTCCTCCAGCAAGCCATCTGAGGACATAGACCCAGACCCTCCAGTTCCCCATGAGGGTCCTCTGATCAGGCCCCGCCTCTTCCCCTCCTCTCTGACCCTGTGCGAGGCTTTGGGGTAGGCTGGGAAGTGCGGGGCGAGGTTGGGCACCTACCACTTTGGGGAGCACAGCTGAGAGGGCCTCCTTGGCAGCCCGTCGCAGGCCGGCAACGTCGATGACAGAGCCCAGGCTCAGCAAAGCATCCTGGAAGAGAGGAGAGGGCAGTGAGGGCTTTGTTGGGCAGGCCAGGGCAGCCCTGCGTGCCCAGAGGGCTGTGAACACAGACCCCCGGCTCAGACCCGAGCCTGAGGCTTCAGACACTTGAATCCCCAGCTCCTAAGGTCTCAGAATTAAACAATATTAGGACCTTCGGGTGACCAAGTCCCTTGTCTTACAGATGGGGAAACTGAGGCTCGATGAAAGGCCAGGGACTTAGCCAAGGCCTCACAGTGAGTTAAGAGTAGCCCCCAGATCTCTTGTCCTTTAGTTGAGGACAGCTCTGAAAGTGTAGGAAAAATACAGTAAAAAAAAAAAAAAAGTAAATAACCAAAAAAAAAAAAATGAACCCACCTAAACTTGATACCCGGCTCACTGTGTATCAAGCAGCTTGTTTTGTTTCAATCACTGAGCCTCAGTCATCTATCTGTTAATTGGGGGCAACTGTGGCTACTGCCCCTTACAGGCTGACATTAAGACAAACTGAAACTGAGCACATAAAGAAATGAAAATAAAAATGAAACTGAGGCTAAAAGTGCCTCAGGGAGTGTCCAGCACCGAGTAGGTGCTTAGCCAAACACTCCCTGCAGCCGGCCGGCCCCGGGCTCTTCCCAGGAGGGCGCAGGTCTCATTTTACAGCCAAGCGAGGACTGGATTGAGAGGGGCGCCCGGCCTCACACCCTGGGAGAGGCTCGCTGGGCTACTCCTGCAACCAGAGCGGGGAAGAAGTCAGCCTTGGCTGCCTCGCAGCCTTCCCATCTCAGAAACAGGCCTTGTCCTTGGGGAGCCGGAACGGAGACAACAAAGGTCCCTGCTTCTCGCTCTATTAACTTGGCCAGAGCCACAGGGATCAAAGAGAAAGGTAATGGAACAGGGGATCCAGGGCCAAAGCAGAATGGTGACTCACAGCATCCACTCAGCCATGCCCTCTCCCCAGCCCTTGGAAGTCCTTTCTGATATCTTCCCTGTGGATGGCTAGGTCTCTGTTCAAAAAGCAAAGTGATTAACTGCAAGGAGGCATGCTTTGGCCCCCATTCAGGTGAAAATAACATGAGGTTGAGGGTCTTAGCAGACCACAAACTCAACATGAGCCCCTAGTGTTAAGTATGACTTATAAAAATAAAAATGCTGAGATTATAGGCCATATTAATAGAGATCTGTTAGCCCAGATAAGGAAGATGACGGATCCTCCACTTCTATAGTCTGGTTAAACCATCCTTAGTTAATGAACTAAGGTAAGGACAAGATGAGCCTCTTCCAGAGGACATGATCCATGTAAGGAGGGAATTAGAAACCAAGTCCTTCATTTGAGTAAGATGGACAATCTAGGAAGGCTTAGCAGAGCAGACTCGAGGTTATCAGTCTCCAAATTCTCAGACACTCCAGTTTTGGAGGATTGAACTCCGTGGCCCCCTGACAGCCTGGGGACCCACAGGATGTCACAGGAGGCTGGTATCTATCTGTCCAATGGGATAAAAGACCTTCTTACCGGCAAAGCCATAGTACAAAGGCAGAGGCCACCAGGAGACATGGAAGAAGTGAGGTCCCCATCTCTGAGGGTATGCAAGCATGGGAGGAACTCCCATTTAGGAGGAGGGTTACAGAGGGAAGGCCTGC